ACCGTCACTTCCGTCAGGAGGCTGACGGCAATCAAAAGCATCTCGGATGGTGGACGAGTCCGGCTGAGGATGGTCTGGTGGGCAGGTGGAGTTGTCTCGGGCAGATTCTGGGGTTCGGACGAGGGGGGCGGTGAGGCGAGATGCTGGCCAGAGGCGGAAATTAAAGCCGGCTTGGTCCAGCCTCTATTTGGGCCGAGGAGGATGGGCGTTGTTGGCACGCGGAAGAGAGGGCGATGGACGGCGCTAGAGGCTTGAGTGAAGTGCCGCTGTTCATACCGACCGTCCAAATTGTTCACAAGTTGCCTTGGGAACGGTCCGAACTGCAAAACGTCCACTGGCTTTATTGCAGCCTGGCACGAGGCTGTCGGTTTGTTTGTGAGACTCCGAGGGTGGGCATGTGTTATGCGTTGTGTGTTGTGTGGAGGCTAACTTGTATGAACGTCATTCTGTTGAGTCCAGTAACTCTGGCTGGCCGGCTGATCGGGTGGGTTGGTGAAGGGTCAAACAAAATTGTTGGGGAGACTTTTATTTGGTCGAAAAGTGGATGATGAAGCGATTGAAGAGTCGGCTGATTTCTGTTGTTCTGCAGCCGTTGGCTTTTAATACGACCTTCTCGTTGACACAGTCCACGAGACATCTGATCTCGTTCCGGGCGAAAACTTGCTCAGCCCTCGTCCAGCATGTCATTTGACGAACATCCTCAGAGGTGGGACTCATGCTTGTAGAAGTCGCATGTTAGCAACAAGTCAAGAGGACTGACAGACTCGTGCCAACATGATATAATCTACATATAAAGAGAAAATGTTTAGATATAGATGGACATAGAATGGTTGGGTTGATTCGAAACGTCTGAGAATGTACCAAATCCACGGTCTGATGGTGCGTTCAATTAGGCCGTCATGACAACAAGATCAAATTACGAAAGCAAGGTCACTCACCTTTATTCGGATAGTTGGCATATCTTCGAGTTGAGCTATCTTTGTGCGATTGGGCATCAGGACGGACGATGGGGTGGATGACATTTTCGGCTGGGAAATAAGGAAGTTGAGCATGTTTTTCGTTTATAAGTATGGTTTCGAGACTATCGTAAACTCAGAAATGGGTTGACCTCGTTGTCGCAACTTGGTCTTGTTGTCAGGGCGACTTGGTAGAACGCACCTAGTCCGAAGTCGTCTGCCATAGTAGTTGTCATGATTCCCGGCATCTGACAGTGGACTTGATACATTCTCAAACGTTTCGCCGGCATCGTAGTCGGCATCATCAGTGAGATTTGTCATTCGCCCCACGAAGCTACAAACTCGTCAAAGAGACAAGAGAAGTCGATGCCTTGACAACCGTTTTGTCGAAAGCTGTAACACTATCACTCCTCTTTCTGTCATTGCCTATCTATCTACTCTTTACCCTCTTATCAAAGAATGGCGGCACTCACTGATGATGCCGACTACGATGCCGGCGAAACGTTTAAGAAGGTACCAAGTCCACTGTCAGATGCTGGGAATCATGACAACTACTACGGCAGATGACTTCTGACTAGGTGCGTTCTACCAAGTCACCCTGACAACAAGACCAAGTTACGACAACGAGGTCAACCCATTTCTATGCATCGAAAGGAGACTGTGACCATACCAGAGGCCACAACATCTTGGTCTTCATAACTATCATAAACTCAGTTATATGATATGTTTTCACGCTATTTCGTTTAATGTATTTAAGGACTAGTAGTTGAAGCTTCCAATAATCATATAATTAGGCCTTACATTTCCAATAAATTTCACACAGCCTTGCATTCTCAAAAGCTATTCTCATCAAGGCATGGATGGACTACAGTTTCAACTTCGCCCAGGTCTTATCAACACCATTAGCGGGACTCGAACCATGAAAGTGTAACGCATAATCTTGACGCGCTAGCCATTACGTCACATTGCGACGAGTGCCCTTAAGTCACAGACCAGATGTGAATTTCGAGGCCAGGCATTTTCCCATATCGAAAGGCGGCGAAGTGGTTAACGCGTCGAGTTCACTTGTTGCATTGTCATGGTTCGACTCCCGCTGGGAGCGTTGATAAAGCCTATGCAAGGTCGAAGCTGCAGTTTACTCGTGCTTGGATGAGAATACCTTTTGGGAAAGTGGGGCTATGTGAAATTCAATGAAAAACGTAATCTCGACTCATATGATTGTGGGTAATTTCAACAACCAGTCCTTCATTACCTTAAATGAAATAAGGTGAATACACCGCTTGTGGCTCAACTTGATGTTGGCGTTCAGTTAATTTTATTTCAAGTTTCGACTGGAAGGAATTCATAAATTCGCTGTATCTGAAGTTGACGAAGAGTTGCCTCGCATTTGTGACTGTAGATTTGTGTGAATAAATCCTCAGCATAACGTCCCGCAACTTCGAAGTATCTGATCGAAGGTTCGTTGAGATGTTGGATAAAATGGTCGGACAGTAAACACTTGACCATTTTGTGCAATTACTTTGCATTTGGAAGGAAAAGTTTATTGGAAGAAATTGTTGAAATGGTCGCATCAGAAACCGCGGTGGGAAGACTTTTGTTTGTTAACTTTACTTCCATTTCGAGTGAAAGTGTTGGGTGAAGTGATTCGAAGGTCGGTTTCACCAGAAGACGACCAGCTGTCAATTGGCTGTACTGGAATATTCATGCCGACGCTGTTTCCGAGGCAATCTCCTGCGATTCCCGTGAAAAGGTGCTAAG